ACTTTCTGAGCATTCTATTTTAAACCATTCCAATATAAATTTTGTATTTCTTAAATATTTGTCATAATATCGGGTTTGTTTGAAAAATTATCATCTATTCATAATTTTATATTATTCAATACATTATTCTGTTCTAATTATTTCTCCATCATAAATATATTATCTTTAACCTGTTCCTAATAATCTTACTAGAAAGTTTTTTTTCCTTAATTTCAATTCTTCCCATTTGAATCCAGAATACTCTATTAAAGCCATTTCTTAGGTTAATCCTAATTCTTAAGGAAATTATGTAATAATTTTATTTAATATCATATTTTAAATATTATATTTCACAAAGTAATTGATTTTTATTCTTAGTTTGAATTATTAGGAAGATATTTGATTATATGGAACTAAGCCTTTCTTTCTTCTCTTAACAATTTCTAAGCAAAAAGATAATCATGAATCTTGTGAAATTTTTATAGATACTTATTATCAAAATTTCTTTCTCTCATTCATCTATTTTATAGTACTATAAACTGTTATATGATTATGAATTATATCTAAATTCAATCTTCTGTAATTTATTTATTATATTTCATTTTTTTGTATCTATATGGATTTGGCCCATTATAAATTTATTTTCAGCAGTCAGATAATTTTGAATGTTCTTACAATAAATTTTTTTTTTATATAATATAATTTTTGGTTCAAAATTAAATTTTTCGAAAAAAAAAAAAAAATTTTTTAAGTAAAAAAAATATTTTCCTTAATTTATATGGGTTCGGTGCAAACGTGCAAAAACATCTTTAATATAACTTGAAAGTGAATGCCTATAATGAGGTAATCCGTTTAAAAACAGTGCACCATCATAAAAGACATTTTTTGAATTAAATGGTTAATTTGAGGGCTGATTAAAGAAATTATGTTGTTGCCGATATTGTAATATATTGTCTATATTATCAATAGATATTATATGTAGTATGATGAATATAATGTAATAATAAAAAATAATAAAATATATGATAGAAGATTTCAAAAAAATAGTGTTATTCCAATAAAAAATGTAGATAAAATTCTCCACAGAATAAAGATAGCGTAGTTCCAATAATAAAAAGTTTACAATGTAATTATGAACAGCAGCTTTTTTATTGGATGAAAATGAATATCGATATAGGAATTCAATACTATCATAAAATACGAAATCGTTGATGGTGGTTTAACATGAATCATTAGATGATAGATTAAACGAAGTAAACAATAAAATCTTACAAATTCTCAAGTATTTTGAGAATGTAAAGATGATTCAAATCTTTTTAAGAGCTTAAACACACACTCACAAGACATACAAAACAAACTATAAGAGTTAAATGAAAAGGATCAAAATCAGCAACTTGGTTCAAAAAAAATACTCAAAATTATTCGTAAAATTATTTCCAATGTAAAAGAATTGTGTGGAGGAAAGAAATTATAAACACAAATCACAAAAAGCCATGTGATAATCAACATATAAATAAATATACTGTTAATCCAAATAGATGAAATTGCACAGTATCCTTATCGGATTTGACTTCTATGCCAGTAGGATTACCACACCTCTAAAATGTAATAATATTAAAAATCAAATTAGATCAAAAAGTTTTATTTTATAATTTTTTTTTTGTTATAGAAATTCTACTAATATAAATCAACTTGCCTATAATGATTTAGCATATAAATGGATGTTAACAGTAATATCAAGTAATAGATTTATAAGTACTAAAATGCTAGTAAATTTATTTTATGGTATGATTTTTGCTTGTATACCATATATCACTTTTAAACTTTATAAACAATTAAATAAAATACAACTAACGATTTATTTACTTAAACTGCTAAGATGATATTTTATGGCAATATATAGAACTCCTTATGATAATATACAAGTAATCTTTTAGTTTTACCAGTACCATTTGGCATAGTAACGCTAGATTTGCTTGGATCAATACTTACTTTAAATACTACTTCTACTGATTCATCAAATTTTGCTGCATGTGTTTTATATTGTTGTAATGCATCAATTGCAACTGCATGTCTATCTTGAGATTAAGGCATCTTCTCTCTTCCTTTTTTATTTTCCTTCCTAATTGTGACATGATAATTTGTCTTTTATATTTTATTGAATGACTTCTACTCCTATAGAGAGAGCTGTACCTTTAACATTTATAGATTTTAATGTCTACATGTGCAAATTGACCAAATGTAATTCAAATCCTATTATTTTGTACAGAATTCAATAATGACACAAAACATTTAGAATATGCACTGTACCAACTGATGGAGCTGGTGTTGCCTTGCCAGCATTTATTGTAATACCAACTACTGCAACAACTTTTTCTTTAAAGTTGACATAATTTATCATAAAAATTATTAGCTATTAATTAAATATGTTATGATTGACTAATAATTATCTTGAGATAATATAAGTATAACACCATTAAAAAAAATGAATTTTCATGTCAACTTTAATGGTTTGTTACCTATCATTTTGTCTATTTTTTTTTCGATAACAATAATGATAATTGTTTATGTATATGTATTACTTGTTTTAATTCTTCTGTAATCCTCTTAAATACTTTTGATCTTAGTTATAATGTGAAAATTATACATTTAGCATAATTTTTAGGATTGTTATTTTATATTTTTATAATATATTACTATATAGAGTAATCTTACAAATTAGATATAATAATTTAATAAAACTGCAATATATTATTATAACTTATATTTATTCAAGAACATATTACCAAAATCTGCGTTGTTAAAGGTTAGAGCTCCAATAGGTATGCAACTAAATGCAACACATAATATAGTAGAAAATATAGTTTAAATACAGTATGTGAAGAAGCAGTTTGTCTTAATAGGCTGATGTTAAAATAAAAAAATTTCACCATTTATGACCTTAGGTAGTACATGTACAAGAGTATGTAAATTTTGTAATGTTGCTACAGGTAAGCCTGATAAATTAAATCGACATGAACCAATAATGAAATTCTAAAAATAAATACATGATTAAAACCAGATTTTTTAAAAAAAGAAAAATGCTTGTAAAATTATTTTAAATGCTAAACCCAATATATTTAATCGTATTATCGAAATAATAACATCTTTATATATAGAAATTAGAATTGTAGAGTTACTTAGCAATTTTAAACAGTTCAACAAAGAAATTTTTACTAAATCAGGTTTTATGATTGATTTAGAAAAAACAGAAACAGAAATTATACAAATAATGAATGATCTATGTGCAACAAATGTGGACTTTTTTTAACTTATGCATTCTATCTAACTCCTTAATTCTTTAACTTCCACTTAAACATTATCAAAATTTGGATGATGATGTGTATGTTCAAAAAATTAATTGGACTATCATCCATTTACATTCTTCTTTAAGGAAAAGAAGTAATGTCTTGTGAATAAATATCCTCAAATTATTTTGAATCAAAAGAATCTAATCCTTAAATTAATTGAAGGTTGTATTCTATTAGATGGAATCTGATTTTGAATATTTATGAATGAATTATTGAATCCTTTTTATATTATCATGCTCTTCTTTGATGTATTAAATAGTTTCTAAAAGTTAATAAATAATAAAATCTGTTCTTTGCTTAATTTTCCTATGATTTAAATACAATAATACAGGTCTTCTATCTAACATCTTTGCAATTTCACTCAATTTTGGATCATAAATACGATTATTTATGTTAAATCAAATCTATATCTTATAAAACTATACGATTCTAAAACTATTTTATCTTCCATTGGACTTAACTTTTTATAATTGATTTCTGGATCCAAATTATTTAAAAACCTTTATCTAATCTATTTACTTGATCTGCCTTCCATAAATCCTTCTATAACTTTTCAATTCCAACCATATTATTGAACAAAAAGAATCACTCGCTTGTCCTTTTCATCACTCCATAGCTTACATAATTTAGTCTATATAAATATCAACTTTAAAATACTACCTTATTCCAATTTATGCGCTTCCAACTTTCAACTTTGTCATCATGCTTCCAATTAATGTGATGATCAAAATTAAAACACATCTTTGACAAATTTCATAATGCTTACTTCGAGGTAATTTCACAACATTCATATTGATGATCAAAAGCACTTATTAATGTATATCATGGTTCTTATCTTCTAATTTAATAACCAGAATTCCAAAAAATAAGTAATCAAAATAGGTTTATAATCCTCAACCATATATAACATATAAGAGATTAAAAGAAAATCATAAATCCACCAAATTTCATTAACTCTAATACATTTTTTCTCATTCTCTTATTACCTTTTTTTATATTAAAATATGCAATCAGGAAACTACGTTCTTGAGTAAGTATATTATATATTCTTAAAATCATTATCTTCCTATATAAGCAACTTAAGGTAAAGGAGTATATTTATCTGTAGTTGTAGAATTTATAAAATTCTCCATATTGTATAAATTTTTCTCGTTTCTTCTTTCTTTCTTGATTGAATATTATTAATTCACACATCTAATAATTATTATTAAAACAAGCATAATGAAGTGCAGTAAATTTTTAGAATTCTATATGGCTGATAGATCAAATTGACTTGATCTTATAAAATTAGAAAATTGTTCCCATTAGATTCTTATATTAAAAAGAATCTCATTAAAGATGCAATAACTTTGATGAATATAAATGTTAAAATAAAGAATGATAAATATAAGCATAATTAGAGAGAGATGAATATGAATAAAAAATAAAGGAGATTTTGAATTGATATATCTTAGAAAAGTTAACTGTATAAAATATTTAATTTAAAGTCAACACTAATTTATACCCTATTAAAATAAAAAAGGCTAATTAAGAAATCACTTAAGAAGAGACAGAATAAACTCTAAAATAAATATCATCTTGAGCCTGATAATTTTGTTACACTATGAAGATTATAATTAACTTAAATTTAATTTAAATTTATCAACAATCAGAATCATTTAAAGATTAATGCTGAAAAAAGAATTCCAGAAATATAGCTTATCAATTTAATTTAATTTAGAAGAGCAGAAAACAAATAGGATAACTCTAGCTTTTAAATGATGTAAATGAGTTAATAAAATTCACTATCCAACCTATCTCCATTAATGGATATATTTTTAACCCTAACACATTATTAACTTCCAATCCAACAACATTCATTATCATATTAATAAAAAATAAACATAGATATAAACTGGCTCATTGTCAAACTAAAAGTTTTTAGCTTAAAATTATAACCTTCTAAAGGATATAAATTATAGATACTTCCCATTTTAATGTAATGAAATTATATGAAATAACGGTATGAGTAAGGAGTATGAATTTCGTTTTTCTTAAATAATTATTATTGTATATTTTAAATTTTCTACAGTCATAATTCAAATAATTGAAATATAAATCTTAATTAAATTATATTAATTCTATCCATTAAACTTAAATATCTATAATATTTAATAAAGCAATTAATATACAGAATTCATTATTATATCTTTATTAAGTAATCAAAATTTAGATGATAAATATAATATATGATGTAGGTTAACACATTTAATTATTCAGGGTTTACTTTATTGATGCTTAGCTATTCATTTAGCTAAATTAAAATCAATAAAGTGTCAAAATTGTAACAAGAAACCTTATTTTAGATATATAAAGAAAATGTTTTGTTTTTTTGATTTGACAATATATTTATATATTTTGTAAAGTTTTAATGGATTGTTCCCCATCAAAGAAGGAGAAAGGACAAAGAAATGTTTAAAAGGATTAAGAAAGGAATACAGATCAATCAGTCTATATAAAAGAAACTATAGTATTGTTTAAAAGCAAAACTTAAGTCTAGATTAATTTATGAGTGATCACTGATATTAATATAGAATTAATACAAACATTTATGTATTTTGATTACTTTTACTGAAATAATAAATTTTGACTTTAATACAGGTGTCTTCTTATTGATCATCATAGTTATAAATAAAAAGACGTATTCTAATATTTAAAATAAAATAATTATTATTGTATCCGTATTACTTTCTGTGTATATGTTTTTGATTCTTTTTTAAACCTGGGTATTTTCATCTTACTAATTCAAATTCATTGTATTCTGAATATTCAATGTCAATCTATTCGTAAGCAATTTAAAGAAGTAGTAATTTATACAGAACAAGGCCCAGTAAATATAAAATATATTTTGTTTTATATGGTAGTATAAAACAAAAAGATAATAACGATATGGAAAAAGTTATTAGAAAAAAAGATAAAAAATGAAAAACTCTTTTACACATAGAGTTAACTTATATATGAGAAAAAATTATTATCATGAGAAGAAAAGCAATAATTAATGGATTATCGAAATATTTTTAAATTAATTATAATTTAATTTAATATTTATTATTATAAATTTCTTCAAATAGTAATGCTAACATTTCTTTTAAAGATGTTGTTTTAATTAAAGTACTCTTTAAATAGTTATAAATAATATAAAATTGAATTAAAATATTATATCCCTTTCTTTGCTATATTTAATTATGAGAGCTATAATAATGCATATATTCAAAATGATTTGTTTATTAAATTGTCAATTAAATAAAATTAAATATAAATATGAGTTTAGTTGATGAAGAAAAAAATGCATATAGATTATAAATTGCAGAAATTGATTCTATTGAAATAGAACTTTAGAGTATAATAAATAATGTAAATCAGCTTATAATCTTTCCCCAAAATCTGAAAACACTTTATAAGAAGCAAAGTAATAACACTAATGGGGGCAGATCAAATTCACTTTACTTATTGGTGGAAATGCAGGTAGATTTAAAGAACTAGTTGTTTGAAAATATCAGCCTTTACTTATTCTCATTCAATCTATTTAGTTTTCAATTCTTGCTCAAGAATTTTTATTTAATCACTTTTATCACTAAATTCACAGATCAAATTTGTAGATCTTGTTTTCTCATTTACTAATTTTTATTAAAGATCAGAAATTTCTTTATTAGGAGTATGATTATATGAAAATATTTAATCTACTCTTAAAATTATCTAATCTCTTTTTTATGATTTTCTTCTTATTACTATAATCTATTAATTAATTTTTTAACTTTTCTATTTCCAATTAGTAAGATTCATTTTTCCTCTTTGTGAAATGCTATTTCACTTCTCATTTTTTTAAATCAATTCTTTCACTTTCTTTTTAACTTTATATTATAATTTTAACTATTTTATTTAATCAGTTAAAGTAGTATGAATTATTTTTACTTCATCAGATGATTAAGATGAATTATTTCTCTATTTTTGTTATTCTATTCCTTGATATCTAATTTCTTACCTCTTTAATTCTTATATTTGATTCTCCAACATATTTCTATTCTAATTTGTCTCTTAAATTTATCTTTTAAGATTTGCTATTTCTCATTTATTTTCCTATTGTCTTTACTATTTCTCTTTTTCATACTATTCTGTTAGACCACTTATTACTATCGTAATTCTTCCAAGTCCCTTACTTTCAATATGAATATAAATATTCTTTCTGGAAAATAACAATTACGCATTTTATTAATAATTAATTTCATATATATCAATATTCTATCCGATTTAGGCTCTTCTCTCAATATGGCAAAATTGAATAGATGTAAGAATCCAACTCATTATTCTTTAATCTATCAAAGAATTCATGTATTTTAAGTTTGAATTATTAGGAAGATAATTGAGAATGTGGAACTAAACCTTTCTTTCTTCTCTTAATAATTTCTAAGCAAAAAGATAATCATGAATCTTGTGAAATTTTTATAGATATTTATTATAAAATTTCGTTTTCTGATTTATCTATCTTATAGTACTATAAACTGTTTTATCATTATGAATTCCATCCAAATTCAATTTTCTGTAACTTAATTATTTTATTTCATTTTTTGGAGTCTATATTTTTAGTGATGATTAGATATTCCAATTGCATCAACAACAAAATTTTTAAAATGTAAAGTATTGTTTGAAGGCTAGAATATAATTTATTCGATTCATAATGATGATCGTTTTCTTGCATTTTAGATATCTATAAATACTTTTTGATTATAAAAGCATTGGCCACTTAATTAGAAAATTATTATTTTGTAAAGTATTATATTATTATAATAATGATTCTTTTTTGGCCTTAAATTCTTTGAGGAACTATTTAAAGGATAATTATAACTCCAAGTTTTTGCAATAAATGGACAATGAAGTGATCATTGTAGATGAGGTTGAAAGTTCCTGGATTCCAAACTTATGGCTATTTTAAAAAGCAAAATTTAGAGTAATAATTAATGAAAAAGGAAATGTTATTTATTAATCTCTATAATATTTATGTATTTGTTTATCATTTTGAAATAGATAAAAAAATAATACCTTCTATGACACAAGAAATTTTGAATAAATAAAATATTTAAGATGGCATGGATAATGTGTTAATTAAGTAAATACCAATCAACTACCTTTCTATGTTCTTATCTTTAAAGTATTTCACGTGCTTAATAAAACAACAAAACCAAAAAATAATCTTCTCTTTAATTGGCATCTTATATTGCCTTTTTGAAAGTCCAAAATCAGTAAGCAGAGCATCCAAATTCAAGATTAGAGTTCTTGTGTAATCATAATGATAGAGTTAAACCTTTCTTTTGGATGATAGCATTATTATTATTTGGTATCAATTTATAATTTTTTTAAGCAAGCGAATTATTCGATTAATAAAATTTAATTGGTGTGGTATTTCTATTAGAGAAAGAAGAAATTTATTAGAAATATGGTTCAAAGATAGAAGAGAAAGTGAAAAATTATGAATTGCCTAAGAAATGCATTCCAATTAATCTTTATAATTTCTTTAAAGAAAATAGTAAGAGTTTGAATGTATAAAAATTAAAAATATATATGAATTATTAAAAATCAACAAAGAAAGGTACTGAATCATATCCTTTTGTAAAACTCCACTGCACAAATATTATTCTTATAAATTTATGAATAGATTATTTTGTCCATACAGAAAGTACTATAAATATGAATAATAGATAAAATTTATTTTAATAATTTATTTATAAATAAAATTAATTTATATTCAAATACTATTGAATTATTTATTTAATGTTAGCTTAGGAAACTATAAAGAATAGATTCTAGTAATAAAATTCTTGTTTACTATTTTATCAAATTTAGCTAAGTTTAATAGAGGACTTTTAATTTTGAAATAAGAATTATGAAAGTAAAATAAATTACTTAAATCATTTATCTTAATCTTTTAAAAAACAATATTGATAATCTCTATTTAAGAATATATGATTATAAAATTATTATTGTATATCTTATGAGCATTAATGAAGAAAATGATATCAAATTAAAAATTCTTTTAAAATAGACATTTAAGTTGCAGAATAAAGTTTCAGATAAATACATATTATAATAATATATGATTAGTATTATAGATTTAACAATAAATCAATTAATTTTTGAATAATAAAATGAAATACAAGAATCATTAAATTTTGTAAAACAACGATCAATTATTAGTTAGCTCTCACTTATCTCATAAATTTTTAATTTTCAGGATCTTGGAAGCAATAAAAGAGCAAGGGTTATCTTATCAAAAGTATAGATATTAGGACAATATTCTTTAAATACTGGAATTTCATTGAATATTAGCACTTTATTTTTTAATTTAAGGTCAACTATTTAGATGAAATTATGCTAAAAAATACAGTTAAGAACAAATAACCATAATTAATATACTCAAGATAGTAAAAATTAAATTTTTTTAGCAATTCTATGGTTAAAAGAACTTATGTTCTGAATAATATTAATTATGTAAAGAGTTTTGAATAATTTAATATAGTAAAAGAATAATCAATAATATTTTTAAAAACATTCAGTTCAGAATATTCCTAAGAATTTAAATAAATTTACTTTAAAAACACCTAGATTTACATAATTTATCAATAGTTGTAAAAATAATTATAAAGAAATCTTAAATGTAATTTAACATTAAATGAAATAAAGAAAAAAAAATCTTTAATTAAATTGAATTATATTGTTTGTGTTTGAGATTCTAAATATTCATTGTACTTTTATATTTTTCTGTGCTTTCATTTCTAAGAATAATTTTATGAGATTCTTATTCTATCAAATTAGAAATGTAAGATTTAAAGAGATTTCCTAAAAATTTAGATATAGTTATTAGAATACAGATAAAAGAAATTTAGTAAAATCTAAAAGATAAAGTTTTAATGATATTCATATTGAATAAATACTAATTATCTTATGAAATTCATTAAATTATTTGAATTCTTGTTGAAATTCTCAATATGAGTAAATATGAATTCTTTACCAATAAAGTTAGATCTAATTTGAATATTAAAAATAACTAGCTCTGTTTTCTAATGTTCGATAAGATATGATATTTTACTTGATTATATCATCTTGATTGTCTATCATTATATAAATTTATTTAATATATTTCTCCATCATTTGATATAAGTATGTTATTATTTTTTTTGAATATTAAAAATTCTGTAATATTGAATGATCAAATTCTAATTTCATTTGAATTTATTTAATTCTCATAGTTTTACATGAAAAGACATCAATCAATCCCATATTTGAAATTACTTTTAGATTATCAATGTGGGTTGGGTTTGGGGTTGGGTTTGGGTTTGGGGTTGGTAAAGGGGGTTGGGGTTGGG